TATTATCTCAGCCTGAAGAAACTGGAACCATCAGGGACTAACGTTAACCTTAAGTTGAAACTTTGGCATTGTAGCTCAGCTTGTGTGTTAATCTTCTGCAAAACGTTAGTAACGTTTAACGAGTAGTCCAGGAGTCATCAGGCTAATTCACAGGCTTGACATATCGTCATGTAAGCCAACTAAGGTCATCTGCTACTTTGAGAGATTCTTAAGGCATGCGGGCTAAATCCTCAAAGATATTGCTATTTTCTGTAATGTCTTATCTCTTTGCCTAAACCTAACTTGAAAGATAGCACCAATGTAATTTTCTATATCTCCTTTGCTCACTGATGCAAATGACATGTCTGAATCTGCAATAGGCAGAGGCTATGCCTTAGCTCCTAAAGGTCATATACTGCTGCCTGTTTCCACTGAAAACAGCTTCCAATAGTCTCTTTTGTCTCTTCTGTATTTCCAATACAAATGCCAGCAGGTTTGATATTTTTTAAACACTCATCCTGTGTTTCCCTAAACAACCTCCGGCTTTCACACCTGGTCACAGGCCACTGATGCTGGAAAGAGGAAACGGATGAACAAACACTATCTGCTATATCACCGTGAGATTCAGAACAAGTCATTAAGTTATTTTCTGCCTGTCACTTACACATTACCATTGCATTTAAAATCGCAGCAGTACTTGAAATGGAGTCACTGATGATCTGTGTACTGTACATAACACTACATTGCATACATAATACATACATATTCATGTGCTACAACATCACTGTACTTTTCTCCCAGCACGTTCCAACTAGACAGTTAATACATAAATATAAAGCAATATACAAAAGCAAGAAGTTGATGGAGCGTCGATCAAAGTGCTGTTGTTTTGCAGCAATGAGTGTGTGTTTCTGTAGGAACAAGACAATCTTTGAATCATAAAATACATGGCATCTCAACCTAAATCACAAACAAGGATAGCTTCTTCTGCTCACCACTGAGACTCACAGCAGATTCACTCAGAGGCAGCTAACCCAAATTAAACCACGCACCTAGCATAATCGATATTAGGAGGTTTTCTCTGGGCAGAGGGCAGTGAGTTGAGATTTTAGGGAAACAGCATCTAACTCAATGTTCCCTCACTGCTCAGTTATATCAAATCAAACCACCAGCAAAGAGCCAGAAACTTGAAATGTACCGTATATGATTATAAATTCACTTCATACCCTGCTCAGACAGACACTGAGTGTACTTTGGCTATTGGGCCTTGGATAGGGAAAGAGATAACGGCACCCATGCAAGTGATGTCATTAAGTAACGACAGCATCAATGAATAATGAAAAAGATACCTGCTCTCGTTACAACACAGGCGCTGATCCGGGATCACACTCCACAGGCAGGTGTGACATTATGGCCATTTAGGTATCACACTGGAGGTTTATGTGGCACCATAGCCTGTTATACAGGAAGGGAAATAGATCTGAATCAACGCTGGTCACATCTACAGTCGAACACTGTCGTTTATGACAGGAACATTGCAGACACTCCAGATGCTGTAGCAGTTGGTGTCATATTAAAGTTGTCAGTCAGCTGATTCATATGAAAATGTGTACGTGTAAAGTGAAGAGGATTCACTCATATAGACCAGTCCTATGCAGCTTTTAGTCTCTTTTAGCAGAGGTAAAAGCCTGGTGAATATTGGGATTCATCCACATGTCAGGGCTTCATGTATGCCAGCTTGTTTTGAATCTTCTGCCTTAGTGACCTAAAATAAATGAAGGCGGTTTGATAGGTCTGTTTGTCTTAAGATATCTCAACAAGTACTGACCGAGGAGATCAGTGCAATGCTGTCCTTCCATCTCTCTGGAGAATTTGCCCCTGCACAGCATCACTGTGATCCACACTAATAAAAGCAAACGTTTCCCTCTTGTGTCCATTTTGTGCCATTACCCAACCTACAGCATCTGCAGTTTACAACACTGCTGTGAAGATCTCTGAGCAGCGCACTCAACAGAGAAACCCTCTCAGAGTGGGTCTCCTGCAACAACAGAAAGCATGTTTTAGTTTAAAAATATAATCCTTTGTGTCATTTGGTGGAGTCAGGAACGGTGAAATCACACAGAAATGTTAATGAGTGAATAGGCTTATGTGTAACCTTCAGGTAGCTTCTTTTTCAAGGACTACACACCATCTATACACGATAATCTTAACGTTAAGGTTTAATGTTTAATCTTAATCTATGTGACAGGCGCAAAATCTATTTCAGAGTCAGCTTGGTTAGGTAAGTGTGGGGATGTAACTCAGTGGTGTAGTGTGCACTTTGCATGTGCAAAATCCTGGATTCAATCCCCAACATGTCCCATCTTAAATAGTAATACTTGGCATGAGAAAGAGCTGTTAGACAGTATGCATACATTTAGGATTTTAAAAGTATCTCATTGAACAATTTGACTGGCTAAACAACAGCTATGATACAACTAGTGGTTTGCTCAAGACCAGACTAACAGCAAAATGCATTATAGTGACTTGGGTTGCAAAATATATTGCCATCACGCAAGTTTTCAATTTAGCAACAGTTTGGCGCTGAGATTATTTTCCAACAGATGATGAGATTTCACTCTGTGTTAGTCCATATCTGCAAAAGCACAGGAGGGGATGTAGCTCAGTGGTAGAGCGTGTGCTTCGCATGTACAAGGTCCTGGGTTCAATCCCCAGCATCTCCAACGCAGTCATTAATCCTGGTATGTGCTGTTCAATGTTTCTTTAATGGACTAAAAAAGGAGTTACTGAGCCATAATAGTTGATACATGCCACTAGAAAAAGACAATGCACTGTCAGATCTTTTTGTCTAGTCATCATATATATTTTTTGTCTAGCTGTGTAATTATTGAGGTTTTTAAGGGCTGAAACTAAATATATAAAAACATAAATCATTATAGAATTTAGTGCTTAAATAATTATTATGTAATGTTATACTTAATAATCAAATGAATAAATCACAACTTAAATGTTACATTTATTTATGTATTTATTCAATTACTGTATATATATGTTTATAAATTCACACATTTTTGTCCTTATTTATTAATTTGTATAATTATTCATTAATTTACTTATCCATGTATTCACACATTTAAATTTCTGTATATGATTGTATTTATTTATTTATATATATGCTTTAATCCATAGTGTAAGTTGCCGCAGCAAAACAAATAAATCCATCAAAAGTCAAATTCTAAATCATTCAGTGAAGTCCTCAATCTGATCTAAAAAACATTGGCAACCTATCTAACATTTTAGCACTCAAGATTTCATAGATCTGCATCAAGATCTGCACCTGGTGCTGCCATCTTGAATTAGGTAAAAGTCATGGATTCAGGTTCAATTGCAGGGTGGAGGGCACCCTCTGACTTTTGATGGATGAAGTTCACCCTTAAAACCCTCCATGTAGATTAATGTCAATACGCTTCAAATAAGATTGCGTTGGAGATGCTGGGGATTGAACCCAGGACCTTGCACATGCGAAGCACACGCTCTACCACTAAGCTACATCCCCTTTTACGCTGTGCTTCCATACATATGGACTAAGACAGAGTGACATCTGCACATAAATTGGAAAATAATCTCAGTGCCAGACTTTTGCTAAATTGAAAACTTGTGTGATCCAACATATTTTGCTTATAGTCTGGTCTTCAGCAGATCATTAGTTGTATTGCCATCAGTTAGCCAGTCAAAGAGCTCTTTATTAAGCCCAACGTTATTATTAAAATGACACCATGTTGGAGATGCTGGGGATTGAACCCAGGACCTTGTACATGCGAAGCACACGCTCTACCACTGAGCTACATCCCCTCTTGTACCTTTGCAGATATGGACTAACACAGAGTGAAATCTCATCATCTGTTGGAAAATAATCTCAGCAGCAAACTGTTGCCAAATTGAAAACTTGCGTGATGTCAATATGTTTTGCAACCCAAGTCACTATAATGCATTTTGCTGTTAGTCTGGTCTTGAACAAACCATTAGTTGTATCATTGCTGTTGTTTAGCCAGTCAAATTGTTGAATTAGATACTTTTAAAATCCTAAATGTAAGCATACTGTCTCACAGCTCTTTCTTACGCCTGGTGTTACTATTAAAGACAAGACATTTTGGAGATGCTGGGGATTGAACCCAGGACCTTGTACATGCAAAGCACACGCTCTACCACTGAGCTACATCCCCTCTTATGTGATAACAGTATATTTTGCAAACCATATCACTGTCATCCAAAGTTTGCAGTTGGTTAGTCAGTCAATAGCGTTTCACTGCTTGCCCCCCAGCAGTCTAGTGACAATGTGCACGATCTAGACTCATAATTGTGACCCTGTCATAGAGAAATATTAATAAATTGAGAAACTTTTTGTTGTTGTGCTTATTAAATGCTAACTTTAGTGAAGATCTATCATCAATCCTTCTATGACAGGCTGGACATTACATGGAGGACATGGGGTTAGTTTCCCCACATTCTTCAAAGTCTGAGACTCCCCTTAGACAAAGCTTGAGATGTATTTAATAAAATATATGTGACCTTAAATGGAAAATCACTGAATCTTATGAATTCTCAAAGGCACTTTATAATGATACTGACAAAGTAGCGTCTTAGTTCCACCAGCAGCCGCGGACTGAAGCCAATCTGCCACCTCATCACTACCGCCCCCAAATCATCAGGTCATATTTAAACCACTCTTTCTGACAGAGATCCCATTTCCACTAAAGAACTCCTCTGACTTGAGATCTTGTAAACCAATCAAATTGTAGCCCACAAATCACCCAATATTCACATCTACAAAGGTTCCTTGTTGTAATGACCCATTCAAACCAAACAACAAGGACATGCTGTGTGTTTATTAGCAAAAATAAATGTAATTCCAGCTTGAATTACAGGCTTTTTCACTGAAGACATGTCACAGAAGAGAAAGCACAGGAGTAAATAATAAAATGAGTGACGGTAGAAAATAAATAATATTCATCAGGAGACAGTTGAAGAATTAAACCACATTTATTGCCCTTTTTTGATCATTTTTCCTATCACATTGCAGTTATCAATCAAAACTAATTAGCACTCTACAATCATTTCCACTGACCACCTCTTTCTATAAATGTATGAAGTTATAAAAATATAGACTAAAGTGATAAATTCAGTCAGGTTATATCCTCAAAACCCCTAAGAAATTTAGGTATTACAAAGATCCTGGCGTGTTTTAGCCAATGAAGTAGAAAGCATATGCACTTCATGTCACTTCCATTTTATTTTATCCACTATGTTTCTTTGAGTCACTGGTTTTAGTTTATTTCAGTACAATAACATAACACACAAAGGAGTTTTTAAAACGGATATTTGACAATAATGTCAGTAATCAGAAAATAAAGAAGACTAGATCTCACTGATTTAATGCTGTTCTGAAATGATCTCACACCAGTGCCAACCTAAAAGGTAGGAAATAAATCAAACAGAAAGCAGTATGTGATGAAAAATGGCTGGCAGTATAGAAAACTACAGGTGATTTACATGCACATCTGTAAAGTCCTTTAACCTGGTGTCAGAGGTCAGCTGAATGATTTTGCCTCATCCTCATCCTTAGATGTTACATCTGTATTACACTGCAGTGGTTTTAACAACAAAAATCAAGAAGAACATTGAATTGACTGTCCCAACACATACAGGTTTTGAGGGTATACGTTCTGCAAAGACACAAGTGACAATACAGTACAAACACATTTCACTAACGCTGAAATGGTAGAGAAATAACGACATTTTCAACCCAACAGCTGCGTTTTGCTGCATTGTGCAGTTCAATCTGAGCTTTTAGTTTTATTCCTCACATAAAATCAATCTCATGTCAGTAAAACAACAGCAGCACATGCTGTACTCTGAACACATCTGCTCCTAAAAAACTATCGTGTCTTAATGTACGATGTAACACTGGTTCTATATCTTAAATACACCGTAGTGGATTTTTATAATCAGTGCTTCCATAATTACTGTGAATTATCTAACAATCACTGCTGGCAGGATTTCAGAGTTGTAGGAGATTTTCAGATCTAAGACAAAACATTGATTAAAATTTTTTATTTGTCTCCAATAAATAATTTAAATTAAATTATAATATTAATTTTATGAAGTAATACAATTCATTTAAAAATGTCATTTACCTTTGAAAATGAATACTTTGATGTCCCTTAAAGATCTGGATATGAAAATACATTTACAACACGTACACATGGATTCAAAGGATCCAGATAAACTCATATAATATGATAATATTGTTTTAAAATCTGGATCTGCATTTAAACACACACATTGATACTTGATTCGCATGGCATATTTTTTGTCAATTAAGTAAGTGCAGTAGGTCACAAGAAAGCAGTGAAAGAGTTTAAAGAGGTCATATTTTGCTAATTTTTAGGTTCAAAATCTTATTTAGGGGTTGTACAAGAACAGGTTTAAATGGTTTCATTTTCAAAAAACACCATATTTCTATGTTCAGTTTTAGCTGCCGAGTGAAGCATCTCACTCCTATTCAATCTTACCTACCCACCATCCTACCTACATACCTAGGTAAGGACTACTAGCCAATCAGAAGCAGGGTAGGGTGGGTCCTGACAAGCAAGGTAGTCTGATCCAAAACAAAGCCACTTCAGCCAGTAACTCTGTCTTCGGTTCAGCCGTACATGTTCTAGCCCAATTGTGATCTCGACACACAGGTAGAACTACACAAACCAGCTTCACACGTTTAAGAGTGGTAAGTAATTAATTTGTAAAAAATTTACCTTTCATATGTAACGCTTAATTGTGCACTATCTCTACATAACAGTAACAACTTTATGTCCATTGACTGCCTGAAGGTCGTACCCAAGCGGGTGAAGCCAATGCGGAAGTCCCAGAAACCTCCACTCTATTGAACGGCCAGCAGGGGGCGACTCTTCTGGTTGCAAAAAGAAGTCCGGCTCCATTAGCAATAATGGTAAAATGACCCTACTTCTCAGTTGAATAATTAAATTAATTAATTGAGTAAAATAGAGTATGCTTCAGGGTGGGATTATCTGTGATTCAAGTTGTTACCATGGCAATTTGTCAATCAGGCTAGAGTGACTCATACCCAATCTAACCAGTGGTTGAAAAAGCTGATTAGGAGTTGGCTGTTCACTTTCTCTGGTGAGTACATTTAGTTTTAAGACTTTTGTTTGCTAGACTAAATTGTTAAAATGACAGTTAACGTGAATTACAGATGCACCTAGCTAAGCAAGCTAGCTAGCTCCGCACACAGCCGTTAGCTCCACCATCTGGTCCAAATATGGTCACGTCAAGGCACTTCTGGTTGCAAAAAATCACCATGGCGGCATCCTATAGGCCAGACTCGAGGCTTCAAAACGACAGTCCACAAACCAACGGGTGACGTCACGATGACTTCGTCCATTTCTTTTATATATAGCCAATGGTCGTACCACACTAGCCTCTAGGCGAGCATTAAGGCGTGTGCTACATTGTTACGCAGATAATTTACAGAAGACTGGACTACAAACTCCCTTTGGGGTGGACTTTGGGCTTTTTCACTTTGCAAACTTATCACTGGCACAAAAAATACACATAACACAATAAAGGAGAGGAAAATACCCAAAAAGCATAATATGACCTTCTTAAAATGTGTCACAATGTGACTTAATTCTTTAAAAATGATTGACTTCACACAAAGTATTCATCACTTTTTCAGCCAACCTTCAACTATTTTTATATATATAATATAATCTCTCTTCAAACACTCTCCTGGCTGGTCGGTGAAACCAAACTAGAAAGTTGTCAGTGCAACGTTACAAGTGCTCCTTGTCAGACTTGTTCATAAATGCTCGCTCACACAGAAACACACAGAATAACAAACTGAATGAAATATCAACAGAGGAATAAACATTTCCTTGACGCTTAGGTTATCAGTGTGCGCTCATGACTTATTTCAGGTAAAGTACAATATCCTTTCCCTCTGTAGTTACATGCTACTGTCCTACTGGTCAGTTTATGTTAGTTATAGTACCAGAAGTGTGGACCTGAGACAAACAGTTATTTCAACATGCAGGAGCATGCACAGGTTTGGTTTGTAGTACAGAAAAGTGTACATTATTCATAATAACTGAAAGGTGTAAAAAGGTCTAAATTAGTTTGGAAGAGTGAGAGGGGATGATTTTTTATTTATATGTAAACAAAGTAAGATGCTTTGCATATAATTTATGTTTGCATGAACATACTGTTTCATGAGAAATTAAGCTTTTGTTCCCTTTTTATCAGTTTTCTGAGTTGGTGAGTTTGGTTTGGCTTCTGGGGAAGCAATCTCAAACCTCAGCTGAGGCATAAAGTGCCTTAAGCTGTTTACTCTGTTTTCACGCTGACCGTAAAACTCTACAACTGTGTGAAGTTTTATTTTGCTAAAAAAAGCAAAACCCTCCATCCAGTCTGCTCCCCAGCTGCTGCAGCTGCTTACCGATGAACCAAAGGTCTGATCTTTGATCAGGAGGCCCAGATTGGATCTGCTGTGCTAAGTCCACCTGTGTTACCCTCCTGCAGTTGCTTTGGGACCAGTGAAACGCAGAGCTCGCCGTACACTGCACAATGCTACGAGTGGTAAAAACATGCTACAAGTGCAAGAAGATCTTTTCGGTTCTAGAAAGAAAACAGCTTCCCAGTGGTTTTGACTGGTTTTGTTCTGGCAGTTCCTGTGTGTGAAGCACCGTGCCGCCCCCGGCAGTGCTTTCCTTGCTGTTTCCACTTTTTGCCGACTGTGTGGCGTCTTCCTGTCCTGCTCCTACATAGTCGACTCCTGCTGGATCTGGATGTAGCAGGCCTGCAGCAGAATCATTTAACTGATGTGTAAGTGATTAAGGACCACTGATAAATGTATTACATAAACTAAAAAGCACCAACATCTTTAAAGGCTACGTAATCATCTAAATGTGTTATTTTAGTAATTTAAATCTGGAAGATGAATTGTATAAAGTGTGTTTGACCGATGATGATCATCATGCCGCTATTGGCAGAATGTCATTAGATATGGAAGGACTGCCTAGGTGTCCCCTAAATTTCATTCCAACTGCAGCTACGTTCAGGAAATGAATAAAACCATTATCCATGTGTGTGTGTGTAGGGGGGGCCCCACCTTCAGAGTGGTGAACATCAGTCCCAACTCTCCGTGCTGAACGTTGGGATCCATCAAATCTTCTATCAGACTGACCTCAGCTCCCAGGTTCCTGATCCTGGAGAGCAGAGCAGCAAAAACATGTTCAGTCATGTTAGAACCGCATGATACATTGAGATAAGACCGAAGCCTCTTCTTCAATGTGTGTCATTTACGCTCACCAAACAGATCAGCAATCAAGATGTAAGTTGAATGACAGAATTTAGGTGCAAATTAGCTACATTAGCTGTATCCAGAATAACAGACTGACATTAGACAATAAATAAACAAAGTGATGTTTGTGTGTGTGTGTTCACATGCCTCGCCCTGAGCACCACATAGAGGAAGAGAGGGAGCAGGTCATCCATACACCAGAGGAAGTTGTCATCCAGCATAGGTTTTACTTCCTGGGTCAATTCCTCAAACGTGTTCTGGATGACGAGGAGTTTGTCTGACGGCGTGAAGGTGGTGCTGCATGTGTAGGGAGACATACAGTTTTATTTATACATGTTATAATGCTCTTTCAATTTTTCTAACGTCCTGTGTTGCACTGTTATACAAATAAAGATTTGTGTTGTGTTCTATCACGACTTGTGGCGTCAAGATTCAATACTTTATATTGCCATACAACTTAGCTGTTAAGAATCTGCCTTCAGTGTGCTCATGACAGAACAACAACAATCACAGCATAACAGTCAAGACACTTTGTAAGAAGACACATAGCCCCCACCGCATAAAACACATCCACTGATGTAAAATATTAAAATAAGAATAAGTTAAATGTCTGTGCTTAAAAGAAAGTAGCAGTTAGAGCTTTGCTTTCTTAAGCACTGGTGCAGAATTGGGGAGCCATTTAGAAATTGGATGGTTTTACAGTAAAAGCTGTTGAGGAAACAGGATCTTTTTGTTTTCACGGCCCTGAGTCTTTTTTTTGTCTCGTGTCAGAGATGGGAGTTAGTTTACGCTGATGATTTAAAGAGGTGGTATTATGCTCATTTTCAGGTTCACAATCTTATTTAGGGGTTGTACCAGAACAGGTTTACATGGTAGCATATTTTTTTTCATACTGTACACTGCTGCAGCTCCTCTTTCACCCTCTGTTGAACGCTTCGTTTTAGCTATGGAGTGACACATCTTAGGTTGGGTCAGTGAGTAGCCGGTAAACAGGGCGTCACATAGCAGCTACCTGATTTGTTGAAGTGTCTCTACAGCGGAAACGAAGCAGGCATCTTTACTGCTAGACACAATCTGTGATAAAAGAAACAACACAATAAATGCAACAGCACAATGTAACCTTATGTGTCATGTGTCTGAGGGAGGCAGACATTTAGAAAAAGATACATGAGGAGAAAAAAGTACACAAAGGCTGCGTTCAGGCTGCCGGCCAAAATGACCCACTCTGTTTTTTTCCAGCTCAGATTAGAGCCACTTTATATGTGGTCCAAATCAGATACAGGTTGGATTGTTTGAAATGCGTGAAATCAGTGTGGACAGTCAAAATTCTGCATGCAATATGTAGATGCCACTAGAAACGCTAGAAAGAGTTGTAGCGCTGTACAGTGCCAGAAACTGTAATTAATGCAAAAGAAAAGGACACAAAGTTGTGAACCTTTGTCATAAATCAGGATAATTGTTACCCCGGGAGGAAACAAGGGAGAGGGCAATGAAAATCAGGAGGGTTGCGCTAACCTCTGTGGCCTCCGTGTTTACTTTCGTACGACAGCGTGCTGCGTGTGACGTCGTATTATTCTTTTGCACATGCGGGTAAATTTCAGGCCGTGGCCTGTTCACTGTCTGATATAGGCCACATTTAAAAAATAATGTGAACAGTCAATCAAAAAAATCGGACCTGGGCACTAAATCGGAACTGAGCATTAAGGCCAGCAGTGTGAACGTAGCCTCAGTATCTGACCTGCTTTTTTTCTCCCAGTATTGACATCCACACTGGCCAGAACTTCCTATAAGAGAATTTAAAAAATAATAGACAACAGAAAGCATAACTGGACAGGTTATTTGTGACACACTCTCTTTGTAAGCATACAGCTCTCTGCATTAGGAGGTTATTTAAAAAGGTATTTAAAATACTGGTTAACAACCAGAACTACACTGTCAAACGTTATGCCATTTAGAGACAAGCACAAAATATGTGTGTGTGTGTGTGTGTGTGTTTGTTGAATCTACACACTCACTCCTGCACCCCAAGGAAGCTGAGCAGTGACTGGTCGGGCTGTTTGTTGAGTCGGAGGATGCGCTCCCAGTACTGGGCCTCCGCCTGCTCCTCCTGCAGGCAGTACAAGGTAAAGAGAGGAGGGTAGAGTCGAGGAAGCAGCACAGGGAGGAGCAGAGAGGAGCAGCTCACCACCAGAACGCTGCTGTAGAACAAGGAGGAGATTTGTTTTAACAGCACTGAGACGAACAAGCTGACAAATAAAAAGCTCTATTTTTGTGTTGATACTCACTCTTGCTCTTCTATATTAGAGTTGTTTCTGCTCTTAGTTGGAGAGGGAAGGGGGTCTGGGATGATGCCGCCATCATCTGGTAGCCCCGGAAACAGAAACCTGCAGGGACCAATTTATGTTACTTAGTGGCAGAAACTCAGGCTCTTCCTTGTTTTGTAACTGCATCTATCTACACACGTATGAAGAAAACAGCGCTAAAAGTAAAATCTGCAATGCTCTCTCTAGTAGTTAACCTCCAATTATGTGTTTAACTTTGCGGACACGTGTCAGTTTGAGTTTTCACAAAGCTGTTTGACTCTGCTTCAACCACACTAGCAGCAAAAAGCTACAAATGCACTGGTGTTTCACTCCCGCTAGCGTTCCTTAGCAGACACCATACATGAGAAGCTCTCTGTGGCACCTGAGCCCAGGTGAGTTTCTCCAGTCTTATGAACAGAATGGAGGAAACACCAGGGCTGAAAATACCACACAACGTACACTGGATGCACGTCTACAAAAAGCTGTGGGCACTGACCGATGAGGTAAACAAAAGAGGTAACTTTGAACTCGAATCTACCGGAGAATGCTGTAGAAATGTGTGAGGTAGGCCTGAACCTCCTGGACGGCCTGCCTGAGCAGCCTGCGGTTGGAACCCACACCGACGTAAGTCATCCTGTAGACGGTCACCAACGTCTCCACCAGCCAGCCCAGAGGGTGGAGAGGGGTCTCACATGCCTGCCATACAAACAAACACACATACACACACACTACTGATAAAGGAGAAGATAGTGCTTTCCATGATTCAATTCAAGACTAAAGGCAGAATCCACACTTCTTAACACTTCTAACATCGGGTACTTCAGCAAAAAGTACAGAGGGTCCCTCTTCCCCTATTGTCACTAAGCGAAGCCTGATAGATTCTCCACTTATATGTACACTTAGCTGCCAGCAGTACACCTAGCTAAAACGAATGCAGTCAGTTACAACAGTCTTGCAATAAATGCTCTCGACATGAAGGTTATAATGTCCAGGTTTTTGTTGTGACTGTTTTAGAAAGGGGTTTATTCATCTTGATGTAGGATGTAGTTTGTGGTGCTGCTGAAGTGTATAACGTCACACTGAGAGCTACTGTATCTAATATTTGGTCTATGTGCACATATTATTATAAAGACACACAGAAAGAGAGAGTTTCACACACAAACAGAGTCTCCCTCACAGCCACTCGTACCTTGATGAGGTATCTTCGTATGTTGTCATAGTTTGCGGTGGTGACTGGTTCACCATGCTGAGGAATAAACTCCAAACACTCCAACACTTTCCTCTGAGACCTACTCAGGTCTGGGCTACAAACACGCACAAAACATACACTCACTTATTTTGATATGCAGCTGCAAATGTAAGACAAGCATAATAGCATTTACATTTGCCTCTGTGTGTGCAGCTGTATCTACCTTTGTCGACGTGCGCTTGTTATAGTAACAGCGATATTCTCCCAGGCTGTTGTCCTCTCTCCTCTCCCAGCAGCATCACAGCCCAGACGACTCCAGCATTCATCGAACACACAGGCCCACCTCTGACCTGCGGGCACCACGTACTGACCCAACCTGCTGCACATGCGCACATTTGAGATATTTATTAAAACAGAACATGAGCACTAGATGAAACAAACTCTGTATTAGACTTGAACAATAATCTGCACATTAGCTAAGCACAAACTTGAACATTCATACACAAAGATTATCACAGAATATCCAGGTTTTAAAAAGTACAAAGTCCTTCTTCTCACAGCAGGAGGTTCTTCTCTTTGTTTTCTGGGTCATCGATGGCTGGTTTGGTGTACGTTCCAACCACCTTCAGCCCTGTGGTCCACTCTCCACTGAACAGGCCCTCCAAGCAGTCACCGTTAGCCAGGGATAAAACGCCCTGAAGAAGAAGAGAGAGGGAGTGCAGAAGGTGTATGAAATCATATTCAATTTTGTGCAGTTGTACAAGTTGTTTTTTTTAGTGACTGAACACAAGTTAGACTTGATACACAGATAAACGGGGACAGAGATGCTTTGTACCTTCCCGTTGGCAATCCAGTCATCAGAAAACTCCCCATGGAAAGCCGTGTCGTCGTCTGCCACCAACAGACCGGGACCCTGACAGAAAACACACACCTTGCATTAAACTTTACAAAGTCATATTAAGGAGGTACAATGATTAAGATTCATTCCCTACAAATGGCCACAGCTATCGAGTCAGGATTTCCACTGTGGCTTCTGCTGTAGGAGAGGTCGGACATTAAATATGGGACACAGTGGTAGAGGAATGCCTGACATCTGCACCAAGGGCAGATTAGTTGACGACTTTGACAGGTTTTGACTTCACTGGACTGGCACAAAACATGTGATAATAAGGACTTTCACATCTTCTTCATACTATAATTATAAAGGTTTTGATTGTGTTATTTGAAGTGGTGGATGCTGAGGACACATAGTTAGAGTGACTGACATTTTTACAACAGTAATATTGGCACACTTGCAAATTCTGCTTTTGACTCAACTAAAAAAGCCTAAAATATTTCTTCCAGCTATTCATGCCGCTGTGACTAAACTAATGTATCATTTGAGGTTTCAGGGTGTATTAACTTTAATTAATAAATAATGAATGTTTTCTCTAATGTAGTATTTACATACCTAAATAAATTAAAATACATACCTATAATTTGCTTTTTTTAGATCCATAGTTTATTTTAAAAATGTCAAAATAAAAGCATATTTTCATAAACTTCCTTACCCTTTGTTTCAGTTTGATTTAATGGCCACACATTGAAGTAATCACTGTAAATAAACAATTACACATACATATTATTTTATTCACTTAAGTTGACTATAGTTAATTTTATTTTTTGTATTAATGTGGTCAATTTAATATTTATATATTTTATGTTTATTGTTAAGCACAAAGTCACTAAAGCAAATTCCTGGTATGTGCAAACCTACTTGGCAGTAAAGGTGATTCTGATTATCAGTATATAAACACAGCAAAAAGAGAAATGTCCCTTTTTCAGGACACTGTATTTTAAAGATAATTCTGTAAAAATCCAAATAACTTTACAGATCTTTATTGTAAATGTCATGTTTGTTCAATGAACCATAAACAATCAATGAAAATGCACCTGTGGAATGGTCACTGAGACACTAACAGCGTACAGACGGTAAGCAATTAAGGTCACAGTTGTAAAACCCCAGAACACTAAAGAGACCTTTCTACTGACTCTGAAGAACACCAAAAGAAAGATGCCCATCTGCGTGAACGTGCTTTAGCCATGCTGCAAGGAGGCATGAGGACTGCTGATGTTGCCAGAGCATACATACATTGCAATGTCTATACTTTTTCCATATCTGTTACTCACATGTCTGTGAAACTTTGTTCAGTTTATGTCTTAGTTGTTAAATCTTTAAAAAGCAGCTGTAAGTGAGAGGATGCTTCTTTTTTTGCTGAGTATGGTTGCCTGAAGTCATTTGTTACTTACAGTTGATGTTAAAAAAATCAAAGCTCAGTGGCACCACCTCCTGTCTTTCAGAGGTACTACACATCTGAGAATCCCCATACAAGTTACTATAATCCAATACAATACAAAAATCAGTGCTAAGAAACATAACATGAGAATGACAGATTCAGCTAGATGAAGCAGAATTTACTGGCCCCAAACCTACTTGGTAATCAGGTTTAATTGCCTGTCTTTCGGCAGACAGTTGTGCAGTTAAATCTCATGTAAATGTCAGAAAATGCATACTCCTGGGTGAACTTACACTCATCTTGTTGTCTCTGTAGGTCCCTTCATAGTACACACCGTACTGGGTGACAACCACAGCGCTGCCATGCCGCTGCTCGTCCAACCACTGTCCCATGTACTTCTCACCTCTGGGAGAAGAGAACAGAAAACATGACAGCAGTGGCTAATGACAGTTGTTTGTCTTCATGAATGACATTTAAATTCAGTCAAGATAATTATTTACTATTTGGGAATGTGCTTGCTTGCAGAAATAATAAGTAAGTTCAACTGACAACTAAAACTGTAACTGATAATAAAAACAAACTATGCAAATTAACAACCTGCCAACAAATACATTTTCCGGTTATATTAAGAAAGCGTAGATGGTCTCCTCAAATTGTCTAGTCATTTCTTTTTGCTTTAGGAGCTGACAAGATTCCCAATTTTACTGGAGACCATAACAACATTCAGCTGATAGTTATTGACCTTAGTATTACAGGAAAAACAAGGATACAATTCAGTATCCAGGGGTTCAGGCTAAAATAAAAACATTAAAGCAAACTTCCTAGGGAGGGAGTGTATCCTAAAACTAGTAAATCTGGATTTCCTACTTATACATGTTACATAAATATGAAGCTTTTTAGGGTTTGAGTCAAATCATTAATCCCACCTGGTGATGTCATCGTAGACTCCGTATCCTGTCTTCCTGTCATGGACCCACTGGCCAAGAAAAACGCTGGAGGAGGTCTTGGTCAGCTTACCGGAGCTCAGCATGCCATAACCGTGTCGCTGTCCATCACAGAAACAGCCCTCGTACACTTCGCCACTGGCATACCTAGGCAGAGCCCACAGACAGTCATGAACACACACACACACACACACACACACACACACACATATATATATAGAGGCCCACTGAGACTCCCAGGGCCGTGGGTTCAATGCCCACACAGGCCACAAAATGCTGTTAAGAGGTGATAGTCCCAATTAAGGTCACTTGTGTTTCAGGTTGTTGCTGATCCAGACAAGACGACTGAAAGCTCATTTCTCTATTTTGTCAGTAAGTGATGTGAACAGTAAAGTTAATAAAACAACACAACATCAGCAGTGGTATTAACACCTTCACAACCTAAAACCTCCAGAGTATGGGAGCATTTCACTCTTCACTCAGCCAAAAAGGTTGTGAACTGCAGCATTTGCAAAGCCACCTCTGGCCTGGGAGCACGTCAGTTATGCTGGAGCATCTGAAGAGGAGGTACGTAACGTCGGCTCTCTGGATGATGAAGGGACGTCTCGGTAAACTAGTTATCTAGCTAGCTAATGTTAAAAGCCGTGTTACTTCACGTTATGAGCTATAACGTTTTCTATACATTTCCTCTGTCATTGAACTGTTAATGGCGTTGATAGTTAGCGTTAATATACTAACACTTCCTTTACAGAAGTCTTTCTGGCACCGTAACATATAAAAGAGGCCTGATACACAGCTGGAATATACAACCAATGGCGTGAGATGATCAAATGCATGATCAAACTTTCTGCCCTTCACAGTTTGTGCAGCGCCTCACTGTTCTAACCGCACTCCTTAATGACATTTCACCTTGATATCAGTTAACTGTAGGCTGGTGATGCAAAGATGGGCACTGTGATTAAAAGCAGATGGATTGAGGTGGGTGAAATAGGCTAAATTATTAAAACACTCATACTACAGTACAACACACCATAAAGAAATCACCTGGGAAGCTTGCGCTGCTCGACATGATTTAAAAGATAATATAGCCTACATGGACCCGTAGAGGTGGAGAGAAATGTCCATGTGGGTGGATCTCTAAATCTAAGAAAGTAATTTGTTTGGGTGGCGTGTGAATGATTTATGTCTGTGTGTCTGTGTGTGTTAAATAAAAAAAAGTATGACATCCTTACATTCTTGTCACATTATGTCCATGTTTTGAACTGAATTAAAAGTAAATATATAAGTTGTCACAAACACTCTTATGCTCATCTGAGGTCATAAAAGGAGGAACATACTGAGAAATAAGAAGGGCGTTCTGCCTTACTAAAAAAATCAATAGAAAACTGTTTACTGACTTGTACTTGCCGAAACCATGGATCTTGCCATCTCTCCAGTGTCCTTGGTAGCTGTCAGGCTTATTCAGCACTTTGTTAGGTATTAAACACTCTCCATAGCTGGAAAGAAAAAAAAAAATCACAATTTACCGAAATGAGACAACAGTTCAATTGATGCTACTTAATACACACAGGGGTGGACATTTACTTTTTGGCTCACCTGCCAACGGGAATGGTAGATGGCCAAACATATATTAAATGTTAAACATATTAAATGTGTTTAAGTCATAACAGTAAGTTGTTTTAACTTACAAGATGCTTATTAATCATTCAGCTTAAACCTCCTCATCAGACTGCTCACTTTCTACAATCACCCTATGTGCACGGTCCAGGAAGTCTGGCCTCCTGGTTCTGACAGAGTCCTCCTGCCACAGCATCACAGGTTTTGTAGGTTCAACATTTTTATACAGTCTATGAACCGTACGCCTTGAACAGTCCTTGACAACTGAAGCATAAGAAGATCTGACAGTGGATCAGATACTAAACTGGACAGCCAACTTTCTATTTTTATGTTTTGCTTCAGCCTCCTTTTGTCTGTGTTTTTTTGGTTACTACATCTTGTAAATGTTGCTACATTACGGTGGTAGCTAGCTAGCTAAATGCTTAAACACTCCATGCACAACTTTCGTAGCTCCTAACTACACTGCGTTATCTCCCGGGAGTATTGTGCCAATATGCCGGTGTTGCGCAGGCTCGCTGCGCTGTATGAGCCGGAGACTGGGGTCCAATTTGATCCGCCTCTGAGCCAGGAACTTTGGTAGTAACACTCCTAACGCCCCCCCTGATCACACAGTAAATATAAAAAATCACCAGCCTGTTCCACAGTTTCAGGCATAGTGGATGTTTAAAACTTTAAAACGAAAGCCTGTGCTTAAATATGTTAAATACTTCTGCTCACAGGGTCTCTCTGCGTCATTTTGGAAATGAACAACATTACACATTAACCAGCTCTTTAATACTAAACAAGGTTGATGTACTCACCCATCCTCCAGTCCATTCTTAAAGTTCCCGCTGTAGGTACGTCCATCTGGCCACTTCATGGTACCTCTGTTAAGGCAAATATATTTTACTATCCAACTATTTGCACAGAGCCAGTGTTAACACTCGGTGGCCATTTAATTAGCTACTACCAGGTAGAATCAATTCAGCCTTCATTCTGGATTCAACAATACTGGAAATTGTCTGTTCACAGTTCACTCTGGCTTCACTCACTCCCTGCACATGTTTTGATTGGTCATTCATTTATTTGGGTACTAGTCAGGTCTCTACTGATTTACTACAAGTACTACAGGTATTAGCTGGGAACATTTTCAATATTCTTCCTCATGGTGCATTCAAGGACACTCCAGTATCCAAGAGTTTATAGTGGGCTGCAAAAAACAATGAACACACTGCCAACATTATTCAGTACACACTGTAGCTGCAGAGACGGAGATGAAATGCTCGCTAACCTGCCATGAACCCGTCCTGCCAGCCAGCCCCCAGTGTACTGGGCGTCTTTAAACCGTCCCTCTCCGGAGAACGTGTAGGAGGCCTTGCGAGACATTGCCGTCATCCCCGGCGACGACCCCTGACCTCCACCGCCCAACACCTGATCCACCGCCTGGTTAAGAGATCGCAGCCACTTGTTCTGGAGAAAGGAAACAATAAAATAGGCAGAATATGAGCAGAGAATTCTGAATGAAAGATGACAACAAAATAATCATAAATATTCTGAGGATATTTCAGTGCCTCCTGACTAAACTCAACTAATAAAAAGGGACACATTCTGCTTTTGGAGACATGCGAGGTGTCTCTGTGATCGGCCATTGTTGAAACCCCTTACAACTAGATGTCCTGATACTGTTATTGCTCCCATAATTATGTGTTCTACCTCGTCCAGCCTGTTTCTTAGTGTCAGCTAACGGTAGTTGTATTTAATGCTTGCAGCTGATGGCCAAAACAAGACATAAAAAGCTTTGCTTAAAAAGATGTGCTACTCTTTATTTTTCAGTAATAATGCTGAACCATTTATAATGCCTAGACTAATCATTTATTCACAAATCGTATCCCTATTGATGTTGAAGCTTAATTTTTTTAACAATATTGATTTTTTTTTGTTGATAAATTTGCAGTATACTATATATATTTATATAGTATTTGCTATGACAAATTTTCAATGACAACCAAGCTGCAATAAGCAGTTAATAAGTGTATAAATCATAAATTTACCTTCTCTTGTGGTGTCGAGGCCACCAGGGTGAAACTCTCCTCTGGACATGTAATTTTGATGGCATAGCTGAAGAAACACAAAACAAGGACAGTAATAAACTTGATCTATATAAAATGTTTTAACAGAAATGATGCAGAAAATGTAAAAACCCACTTTTTCTGCTGCTTTTGGAAAAAAAGAAAAAATAAAAATCATACAAAATGGGATTCAGATTAAAGTTTTAAGCAGGTCAGTATCTGCGCTTAGACTTGACCTGTCTCAGGTACAACTAAGACCCACTGCACTGTCAGCGAGATGTTCCAGCTATCGTATGAAAATGAGTAAGGTATGAGCCAACCACCTTGGCTGAATGTTCACCAGTGCTCAAGCGCCTTAAAGTGCAGTTCACTAGATGCTAAATCCAAAGAATTGAGTCAATATAAAGTGCACGAAGAGAACAAATTTCACTTCCTTTCACCACTTGGATTTTATGGTTTAAAGAGGTTTTAAAGGTTTACTTTAGTCATAGTTTGCATTTTTTTAATACAACAAACTCACAGTCCGCTGCTGTCATCAGTAACTGGTTTCACCCACAGACAGGTCAGAGGATAGACGTGAAATGTGGAGAACTGCAGAGAGAGAGACAGAGCGGCGGTATTTAATCACCATCTTTCTGCATAAGTGGGACACTGATACTTCTCACATTAGGTGTCATCACACTATCAGAGATTACCAAATCCAATGTTTTCAGAAATGACCAAATCCAGATCATGTGTGTGTGAGTGAGCGACGAACAGATCGGCATTATGTACATGTCTCAATGTAGTTTTTAATTTTCTGGTGAATCAGGGAAGTTAAACAAAAGATCTCCAGTGTAATCTCAGTATGTGTGTGTGAAAAATGTTGGTTCCTGATTTTATTAAAGTCTCTTACTGTATTTAGTATCGTTTCGTCAATTTAGTTTTGATATGATTTGTTAGATATTTCACTTATGTTCCACACCACTTCTTTTTCATTATTTAAGCCCATGAAACTAAACCAGAACACACCAGACAAACACTGCTAACCAAACTTAAATATTTCCCACAGCATGCCTTAGGATTTTCGATTGATTCACTTATCTTAAGTTCACAATACACTGGACTGAACTAAAAGCAAGGCAGCCCAGAAGGTAGAAGTGCAAAGTATGTGTGATTTATTAATAATGCACAAAAACATGCAAAATCTGCGATATGCTCCTTCCAGTTAAATTTTGTCCAGTTTAACATAACAAAGTCTAACTATTACATTTACAAGGCGAGATGAGTTCACATGTGTAACGCGGATTAACTGTATGTCAGCGTTCTCATACACAACACAGGACATTAACCAGAAACCACAGATAAACACAGTTTCACCACAATCTACTGTTTATTAACACACCACCCTGCATCTGACGGAGAGGAAAACAAACTGTGATTTAGGGTTCAAACTGTTTTACACTATAACAAACACAAAGCTAAAATGTAGTGGTGAGTTACATCCTTTCACTAGCATCTTTAGGGGCTATGAGCTACTGCAACTGTGACTTCTTGTGTTTTCACCACTTATTAATAGGGGTGTGACGAGACACTTAACCCACGAGACGAGATCTGAGATTGGATTCACGAGATCGAGGCAAGACGAGATTTATCTGAGCATTAAACACTTTAATTCCTGAATTCTGATGATTATTTAAGCACCAGTTATGGTGATTTTTCTATCTAAAGAGAAATTCAGGTGGCAGGTGCTAACTATAAAAGAATATAAGTCAGTGCAGCTCTCAGTGATTCTGTGCTGCTATCAGATCTGTTTCTCCGTAGATCAACTTTTGATGAGTCATGATTTAGTGTTCCCTCTTCTTTGTGTCTTTGTTGGGAAAGTAACCTTGTTAAATGTGATTGTGTCACATTTTCCCAGAATGATACATTATTTAATTTTAATTTGGTAATAATCTCCTGGACTTTAATAACTCCTGTGTTTCATCAGATTTTGCTCATGGTCAAAAACTTTTTGCACATTCAGAATCTCTCCCACATATCTTTCAAAAATCTTATTACTACTAGACTAACGTCATCATTTAATAAGTCTACTGCCCTTTACTCTGCTGTGCGTTAGTTATTGATCCGCTGGTAGTAACGTTTCCCCTTCAGAACGTTTGACCGACGCAGTTTGGGACTGCCTGTTGCTTGTGAAACCGAAAGAAACTGAAACATTTCTGATCAGGCAATCTCACCATAAATCCACATACATGTTAACTTCAACAGC